AATCATGCAAGACCAGAAATTTAATTTTAGATAAAAACTAAGTAGATTTTTTGAGAAATAATGAACTCAAATTTCTCACAAGACATCCATCATAATAATAATAATAATAATAATAATAATAATAATAATAATAATAATAGTAATAATAATATTTAAAATAAACGCTAATTAGTTGGTCAGTTTTTCTTTTCTTTAAACTAAGAATATATATGTTTCTTTTAGGATTTAACATTACATGTTCATTTACAAACATGACAGGTAAACGAAATGTTAAAAATTATCGTAAAACATTTATTTATCATTACAATAAAATATCATATTATCAACACAATTATATTGACAAACAAAAAAAATAATGGGTAAACGTTATTTTATTGATAGATTTTATTCAGAAAAAAAATTGTCCAAACAGAATTTTTCAATAATTTTAAAATTTTACTTACCATCGAAAGTATCTGTTTATAACATTTATTGGTAAATTAAAATTTTTCTTATTGACAAATATTATTGTTAATAAATTTTGTTGGTAAAATGAATGTTAAAGTTTATATTTTAGGTTTTTTTATTATATCATAGTCAAATATGTTGATAACTTTGTTAATGATTTTTTAAAAATTAATTGATAAATATGTCGGTAACTAAAATTCTTTTAAAATTTTTGTTGATAAATTTGTCAAAATTTGATTTTTATTTTGAAAATTGGTTGATTATTGTATTTTTTAAAATTTATTGGTAAATTTTAGGTAAAATAAACTTTGATTTTTTTTTGTCAAATTTAACAAAAATATTTGATATAAATTAAACAGTGATGAATTAGAAGAAGAAAGTAAGAATAAAGAAATATAAGAAGGAGAAAGTGGAAGAGAAAAAGAGAAGGAAAAGTAGGAGAAGAAGAAAATGTGACATAAGTTAAAACGACAATTATGATAGCAATTATGAAGAAGAAGGAGGAAAAAAAAGAGAAAAAAAAAATAAGAAAATGAGAGGAAGAGGAAAAGAAAACGAAATTGCCATATTTCCAACTTTTATCAATAAATTAAAATTTCAGAAATAAATACTAACAGATAATTATCAATCGATATAAGTCATTGTTAATTTCTGACAGATTTTGATCATCCATAATTAAAAACAAATAATTATTGGTAAACTTTTTTTATTATTTGTAAATTTTGTCAACGAACATATAGTTTTTACAGCTGATAAACCATCAAATATATTTTGCTATATCAATAATTTTTTTATTATTAATAATTTTTTTATCGTCGATAATACCAGATTTCATTATAATGAATCCATTATCCACATAATTTAATTTTTATATCTTTGAACAAATTACATGTCAATTATTTTTCTTACAACAAAAATTAGTTGAACTTGAATTGATTGTGAGTTTTGTTCTTACTTCTCAAATTCTAGATTGAGTGTGTAACCATACTCAACTCTAGAGAGTGAACAACAACCATCTTAGATCAAGAGACTACACAGCGAGCCTTGACCAAGTAAGAGCAAAACTAATCCAATCGATTTAAACCATTGTTGCTAATTTCATGAATTATGTTCATATTTGATTTTCACTTCAATTCTTGTTTTCTGATTGTTGTTTTTGCTTGTAATATGTTCCTTTCACTTAGTTTAACATGAGTGCACTTTCAATTCACAAATTAAACACAAAAAATACAAATTCAAAAATTAATAGTTATTTTAGTTGTGCGCCAATGTTTCTCATTAGTTTTAGGTTTTAGATTTTCGAATTATAAGTTTTACTTAATCATTTTGCTTCATTTTAGTTTTTATATTCAATCGGTATTAATTATAATATTTCTGCAATTAAGATAAGATTGTTTATAAAAATTAGAGCGTTTAACAATTTGAAATTTTGAAATTTAACGAATATATTTAATCAAATATTTCTTAGAAAGAATATCATCTGAATACACTAATATTTTCTCAAAATTAGATTGTCATTGAATTGTATTAGAAAGTGGATTTTAAACCTAACTCAACCCTATAAAACTGGTCTGTAAGGTGAGGTTTGCACCGGTCTTATCTTTAGTCGATGTGGGACTTCCAACACACCTCCTTAACGTCGAGGTATAGACAGCTCGTGCGTGATAGTAGAAATTGGGTGGTCCGATAGTGGCCCGATACCGGGTGGAATAGAAGAATAGAATGTCCACATAGAACTAGCTAGGATATGCTCTAACCATAGCTGCGATACCATATTAGAAAGTGAGTTTTAAGCCTAACTCAACCCCACAAAACCGGCTTGTAAGGTGATGTTTGCACCGGCCTTATCTTTAGTCGATATGGGACTTCCAACAAATTGATTCTTGGTTTTCACTGTATTATGTTAAGAGGGAAAAACATTTTCACATAAATTCTGGACAACAAAAAGTTATATATATAATAACCATATCAGTTAGTTGCTGTTATCAGACAATGCATAAAATTAGTTTATACAAAATTCAATTTTAATCAACATATACATTTATTTTATATATATAAAAAATACTTATAGGTAAACTTGCGTATACATTTTCCTAACATAATTAGCTGCGTGTTTATTCTAAAACAATGAAAAATCAGCTTATAATTATCATATGTCAATGTAACTAAAGATTAAAGTGACACCACACAACCAATCCTACTAAGGTGTCCATTGAAATTGCACTAAACAAATGCAACACTCAATTAATTACTTTATCTTTTTGAAATCAAATTTAATAGTTATCTTAAACCATTTATTAATAACTCTACTTCATATAACATTAAATTATAACAACAATAATAATTATTACTCCTATTAGGAGTTTTGTTAGGAGAGATGAAGTGAGTTTGCTGCAAAATATTTCTCAGGTTAATTTCTTTGACCACTACTACAATGAAGGTGTCAGACTACGGTAGTCTATTAAACTATAGTATATATAGTTAAAAAGTAGATTTTAAGTCTAACTCAACCCTATAAAACCGGCTTGTAAGGTGAGGTTTGTATCCACTTATATACTATAAATTGGCCTTATTTATAGTTGAGGTAGGACTTCCAACACATCCCGCTCACGCCGAGGTATATACATATCGAGCGTGAGACTAGATATTAATAGGTGGTCCGATAATGGCCCGATAGCGGGTGGAACAACATAGCCAACAAACATAGCTAAGATAGGCTCAACTTAACTTTGATACAAGTTAAGAAGTAAAATTTAAGTCTAACTCAATCCTACAATATCGGCTTGTAAGGTGAGGTTTACACTCACTTATATACTATAAATTGGTCTTATTTCTAATCGATATAGGAGTTCCAACAAAAACAAATATTTCGCCTGTCATGTCGAAGAAAATGTTTCACATCATTTTTTTTATAAAATAGAGAAATAAAACAGATATAAAATTCAGTTTAAAAACTAAAACACAATTTTCTTAAAATAATTAACATAGAAGAATTAAAATCTTCTAATTACAAAAACAGTTATTTAAAAAAAAATTGAAAGCATACATTCGATAATTTTAAATGCAAATTGTAAATCTAGTTCTTACATCCCGTAACACTTTGGTTTGTCTTTAAAATAATCACATTTGCCCCCACATAATTGATTGACAATTAGTGATTACGGCTAAGATAATACCGATGGTAAATTTTTCCAACCAAACCAAAAATAGAAAAAGAAGGCAAGTAGTATTAATAAACTTTTACTATATTAAAATACAGAAATTTAATTTCAATAATTAAATGTTTAATTTCACTTTTATACATATCTGAAGGTACTTCGTAAATCTTAAGTTGTCCTCATGGTATTTTTTTTCATGCATCAATCAACTCTAAGAATTATTAATGCAGAGTAAAAAAAAACAATACAAAAAAAAATAAGCAATAAACAAAGGGAAAAGGAAAAATAAACAATATAGAACTAAAATCACATCAACAAAATATAATAAACAACTTAAACTAAATAAATGAAAAACAACATTTATCATTCTTAAAGTTAAATAAATATTTTTTTCTATATTACTTTCAAAATTTGTGTTTCGTCCTTAAATTATATTATAGTAATTTCTTCTTTGCACTAAAGTCACGTAAAACATTATATTCAACAAATTTACATTGTAAACGAGAGATGTTTTACGTAGCTTTTATAGACAAAATATATACATATATAATTTAAACACAATTTTTGAAATAATTTATGAAAAAATATCTAATTTATTTAAGAAATAATGTAAAAATTATGAGGACTTTAATGTAATTTGATTTCTTATGATAAAGACAAGAGATAAGCTGCATATAATGTATAGTATATAACAGGGAGAATAATATAAGATGGCAAAATTTCTGATTTAATTGTAATTATCATGAAATTCCTTGTCTTAAAGATCTCGAGGGCAATTAATTTGGCCTTGCCTGGGTGACTTTATCATTAGGTCCATTTATTGATTAATTTAAAGCTTTTGTAAATGGGTGCTTCTATCTCTAACACGAATTATCCTACGAAATAGTAGTCTAGGGTTTGGTTTCCTCCATGAAAGGAACCTTCTTCCACAACTTTGGCAAGGTATAAAACAACTTCATAATTTAACCATGGTGTATCCAAACAAAATGAACAAAAATGTCATAATAAAAAAGGAATTTCATAATTTATAAAATAATGATATAGGTGAGACATATTTATATTTATTTAACATATATTATTAAAAATAATATATTTATTAACATATATTTAAGCATGTGAAAAGAAGAGAGGAGGTTAAAATACAAAAAAAAATGGCTGAATGAAAAAGGTAGTGCAACAAACAAATCCTAGTTGAGGGAAAGAAATATGAGCAGGAGGGTCCAATCATTCATCCGGGTGTGACCACTTTCTTTCTTGTTACCTTCTTACAATTAATTAGCGCTCATCTTTCTAACTTATCTCTTTTTTTCCTTTACCATGTATTTATTTATTTATTAAATAAATAATTCAAATATTCTTTTATTTATTTAAATAAATGAAGAAAAAAAACTTACTTGTTTTCTTCTTCTCTCTCCTTGACTGTGACTGACGAGACAACGCTTCAAAGCTTCATAAACTTCAAAAACTACGCGTCCCTTCCTCTTCTTAACCAAACCCAAACAAAAACCCTAAGTTTCTCTCTCACTCACTCTCTCTCTCTCTCACTCTCTCTGTGCGTTTGCTCTTCGAAATTTGCAGGATTCGATTCCAGTTTCCTTCAACGTAGATCGCGTGTTTTCCTTCGCACTGTGAAATTCGGCGGGCAATTCATGAATGGAAGACAAGGACGAGCAACCTCCGATCCCGCCGCGGTTGAGTTTGCCGGCGACACGAGTTGGACATTCGCCGCAGATGGCTCAGACGCTGCCTACTTGTTCTCGCCGATGGAGAGCGAAGCGTACTCAGGGAATCGGGTGGAACCTCGAACTGGACCAGTTGAACCGGATCGGCACCGACGATGGATTGTGGATGCCGGTTCAATCCTCTCTGACCTGTTCGATTGAACCGGCCGCTGCTGCATCGTCGCGGTCGAATAACCAGTCGGTGTCGTCGAGCTCCAGTGAGGACCAGCCGGAGAAATCCACCGTCTCTGATGAGAAACCGCCTGAGATACCGTGAGTTCGCGAAAACGCCAAAAAAAAATGAAAAAGATAAATAACTTCACTGCTTTCAACTTTGCTTAACACTTTCCCTGCGTGCGTGGTGAAAACGTAATTAACGTAAAATTGTGGTGGAAAGTTTAATAGGATAACTGAAAATTCACATCAACGAAAATCACAATCGAATCAACTTGTGGTTTGTTTGTTTGTATGCACCTATTTTATTTTATCATATTCTAGTTTATTCCTTTTTTAATTTTTTATTTTAATTTACTCGAGTCAGTGCAATTCCCTGACGTACAACCAGGAATCTTCTTCCCAACCCGAACATTTGTAACTGACTCAAATTTTTATTAGTTGCGTTTAGCAAATTTCTAGAATTCATGGGAGGAAAATAAAGTGAAGGGGTGTAAAAAGGAGAAAAACGGATTGCCTTTTCGGTTGTGCGAAGTTTTTCAGCCCACGAGCATCGCCGTTATTGCGGCGGAAATGGCGTGCTTCTAAGCTATCCAAGGCTCGCAGAGTGATAATAATTTAGTGGTGTTCATTGTTTTCGTATTATTATTGTCATTATTACACTTTGTTTTGATGAGAGTTTGAATAGTCAATGAAAGAAAAAGAATACCATAAAATAAAATGGAAAGCAAGGGTGGGTAATTGGGCTCCACTTTTCCTTTTTTCTTTATTTTGTTAAATGATTTATGCTTGCACACACTGCTCTTGAATTTTTTTGGGCATTAATAAGATTCTAACCACTTGCAGCTTTTTTGGTTCAAATTACGTGGTCATTTACCATTCGAATATAAATAACAGGGATTTTGCTTTCTTAGTATGATGCTTATTCATTTCAGTGTTATGTGGAAGCATTGCATTAATTAGCATTTTGTGCTTGTAATTATCTTGTATGCAATTCAATTTTATGTAAGTTGCCTATGACGTAATTGTTCTTCCCCTAAATATTGATTGCGTGTTTTCATTACAAGGCTTGTGGTCCATATTTTATGTGAATTATTTTCTAATTAAAAGAAAATTAATGTTCATTTAGAGCCCAGTTATACGTACAAAGGTGGTGTTCGTCGTATTTATGGGATGATTACCATGCAGAACTATTTTTGTGTCTTTTCCCCCCCTGTGAAATGTGGATCTTATTGTTTTGGCATTGCACAAAATGTATGACTTTAATGATGATTTGAAAAATCTGAATTAACACAAATGAGGCTTTTAGTGGAATTGTGATCATTCCACAGCCTCTACTCAAATTTTCTTCCAATTTGATTGCTTGTTCTCTGCGCATTTAACATATGTAATTTGAAAATTTTATAATATATATTTTTCTTCTTTCTTATCCATTTTATTTATTTATTTATGTTAATAGGCTTCTTCCCTCACGTGTATTTATTTATTTTTTGAGAGATTATTACCTGTTAAAACTTATATTATTGTATTTACCTGAATTGCCTTATCTTAGTTCCTATTGCCTCATGATTTGGATTATTGCTTCATGGATGTTTATGAAACCCAACAGATGACCAAGGACTATATAATCTTATCATTTCCCAGCATTACTTTTTAAAACAGATACTCTCAAATTACATAAAAATGGTGCAATCATTCTTGATTTCTCTATACAATTTAACCGTGTGTAGGATTGATGATGGACAGAAATATAAAATCTGTTCCTGGTTTAGGTTAGGACATCCTTTTTCTTTTTCTTTTGATGATTTCTGTATGCTGCTTTATTCTGATATAAATTGTAAGTGATGTATTTTGTAGGATTAAAGGTAAAAAGAAGGGGCAAAAGCGAATACGGCTGCCACGGTTTGCATTTATGACCAAGAGTGAAGTTGATCATCTTGAGGATGGCTACAGATGGCGGAAGTATGGTCAGAAGGCAGTTAAAAATAGCCCATTCCCTAGGTTTACAGCTACCTTGACATCAACTTTAATTTTAATTTTATTAAAAAACTATCATATACAGTTGACTATTTTGTGGCCCCTTTGCCTTTAGTTAAAATTTCGTTTTTGTTAAAGAAAACACATGATGTAGTATTGCTATAAAACACTTTTGAACCTTCAGACGTGGTTTAGAAATAAAATGAGATAAAATGGAAATGAGAGAAAAAAAAGAATTATGTGAACTAACAGCATGCAATGCATGTATATTACCAAATTCATTCACTTATGCTATCAGACATACATTTTCACATTATATATTATATTGATTAAGAACTACTATAAATTACAATTTTTTCTTCGTAGATTTTACCTTTTATAGTATTTTCATTTATAGATTCTAAAAGATTTTAAATAATAAATATGAGTAAAAGATTGTTAAATAGTGTGTTAACACTCCTCTAACATGGGAATATATAAATAACAATAACCATGAAAAACCAAGATGATTCCAAACAATATAGTGTTTCTAATTCAATATATCTATATTTTCGATGGATAGGTCAGGTGAAATATTATTGGAAGCCGTCGATGTATACGTCTTTGTGCAAAACATTTTGAAATAAATTGGCAGTGATAACTGCATCAGAAAAGCTAACTGACAACATTGCACTGATTAATTATTATTATGCATTTATATTTCTTTTGCAGGAGCTACTACCGCTGCACAAACAGCAAATGCACGGTGAAGAAGAGGGTTGAACGCTCTTCCGAGGACCCAACGATTGTGATTACCACATATGAAGGTCAACACTGTCATCACACCGTTGGATTTCCTCGAGGGGGAATCATTTGTCACGAGGCTGCTGCCTTTGCGGGCCAGTTGGCTCCTATGTCACAGTTTTATTATCCAATTCATTCACCCAGAGAGACTAATAATATAAATACTCTCAGCTCCATTTCTCCGCCATGCCAAGCACAGGATGATGCATCTGGGGGATCCAACACTGTAATGCCAGCTGATGCGTCGTCACTGCAGCCTCCCACTGATGAAGGGTTGCTTGGAGATATTGTACCTCCGGGAATGCGTATCAGATGAGAGAATAATTTCATGGTATAACTCACTGGATCTTTTCTCTCAGTTCATTTATTTATAATTTATAGAACCATTAATAAGGTTGAATTTTAAACAGATTTCACATATGATTTTTATTACGCCTTTCTCAACACTAATAATTTTAGTTTTTATAATTTATAACAAACTACCCATATTAAAACTGCTTTTGTTTATAATTATAACAATTAATAAAGAATAAATTATTTTCATATACGTACCTTATTATGATATTTTTAATAATCATCATTCATTATGATAGTTAAAGCTTTTCATTATAGTTATCATTTTATTTTTGTTATCATAAAAAAAAGGACATACTTTTTTTTGCGCACTTTTATTTCCAATAATAAATATTAAAGATTTGATCCAAATACACCTTTTGCCAAATGCATTTTTAAGTTTATTTAAAGGAGATTTACCAAAACTAAATTCTTTTTACAAATAACTTCACTTTTTTATTTCAGTTGTGGAAATAAGGGGGGAAATTGTTTATATTTTCATAAATAAGAGGAAAATGTTATTTAAAAGTTAGCATGTAAAAAAAAAGAACTCTATTTCTAGAGATTTTACAAATATAATTATATTAGAAAGTGAAGTTTTAAGCCTAATTCAACTCACAAAATCGGCTTGTAAGGTGAGATTTGCACCTTACTTATATATTATAATTTGGCCTTACCTCTATTCGATGTGAGACTTCCAACATACTCCTTTCACGCCGAGGTATAGACATCTCGTGCGTGATAGTAGAAATTGGATGGTCCGATAACGGTCCGATAGGGAGTGGAATAGAAGAATAAAATGTCCACTTAGAACTCATTAGGATAGACTCTAACTATGACTTTGATACCATATTAGAAAGTGTATATTTTATAACACAAAAATACAATTTAGCAATTAAACTTTTAAAATTATTGTGAACATTATTTTTGAAGGTTACATTTTAAGTAAATAAAAAGTGAAAAGTTTTTGTTGAAAAATTATTTCATATTTACATAAACAAAGAAATATATAAAATGACATTATAAAGGTATTTTTTTTAGGTCATTAAATCATAAAAGAGTGCCTTTAAAAGTGATTAGTTGTGATTAGTACCTTTAAAAGTGATTTGTTACTGATCGAACATTGTAAATTTTTCTAACTTATCGTTGCATGAGATTAAAGGGTGAAAAGTATTGTATCATTTGTTGGTCTAAATTTCGTTATGAGTTTTTCATTTAGTATCTTGAACACTGGAAGAATGATCGGAGTCAACAATGAAATAACATATTCATATTCCTCATTTAATGAGAGTTAAACCTTTAGCATGATATATGGGTCTGCTGATATATTTTCTTCTTAAGATCTGCTTTCATGTGGTCATGGCACACGCATTATTACCATCATAATGCATATCTTTAATGGCTACACACTTCTCTGGCAGAACCTCAATTATATTGACTAATGATGTGGTTTTCAGGAGCACTAGACATCTTAGGTTAAAGTATGATTGGAGACAAAGGAATTCAAAGGTGAGCCTTTCATTAGTCTTCAATTGACTGCTTTTAGTGCCCTTAAAACTTTACAGAGCATTGAAACTTTTTCTTTTTCCAGATTAAAAAATAGTGATTAGTCTTTTTTTTTTCAGAAGAAATATAGAGTGGCTTTAGAATTATTTATTGTTAAAAGATTATGTTTATTTTTTTGTGAATTACAGTTGTAGATTCAACTTTTTTATTAATATTTGAGTGTTATAAGATTAATTTGAAATCTTTGAAAAAAAAATAAAAGATATTGTCGGTTATAACTATCTCTAACACAATATTAACGAAAAGAATTTTTGATAAATTCTTTTTTTACGGGCCTTGAATTGTTTAATCTTCTTTAAGCTCTCGACTTTTTTCTCGGAAAGTCAGCTCCGCATGACATATCTGTTTCTCTTTATTGGGTAGATCAAGAAACTTTGTTAGGTCTTCATCTGTCTTTCAAAAGCCAATCCGATTAAATATATATGCACTGATAATATAAAATTTGCTATCTGTCACTTTCAAAGAGAACATGACATGTCTCTTGCAGGAATTTCGTAGGCTTATATATATCATACCTACGAGGGTTTCTTGCTTGTATATTATGGTTGAAATTGTTATTGTTATTTAGCACCTCCACAATTACAGATATCTGTTTATTTGGCTTAGTTAGTCACTATTAGAGGTGCACCGTACGCGTATACTGTTACGGTTGGTGATAGCTATAGATAGGTCCCGGGGCTTCGTTAGAAGTAGAAAGAGAAAAGGAAGGGAAAGGAAAACACACTTTTAGAGGTCAGGTTGACAGGTTGCATGATTGTCGCATCAGATCAAGTTGCTGTCAGATATTACCCATAACGAGTCGTATACGAGTTAAATGTGAGTGGCTCCTCTCTATATGATTGTGAGCTAACAACTAAGTCTAGCACGAAGGCTTAGCTTTCCATGGCATGATCGTGAATTAAGATTTGATTTTCTGTTTGAAAAGATGCAAAATTTAATATTTCACTTGGTCTCAGAAATATTTGTCTTGGAAGGAAATACAGATAAAAAAAAAGTTGTTAGCTAGCTTCGTGTCTATATTCTTGACACTTTATTAGGTTTGGAAGTGGAACCCGATCCATAAATTCTTTTCCTTTACCTTGTATTTTGTATATATTGACTTATTATTTATATATTGAACCAGTGTTTTTTATTCTTGATGTTGAGTTGACTCAGGAATCCATGCAATAATGCATGACATTGATCAATCTAAAATGTCTCGTTATCCAGGTTTTGTATTTGATGGGCCAATAATCGTTGCTATGATTTGATTCAGCTGATGATGGGTAGAGGAGCAGAGAAAATGCATGGACATGCATGCATTTTTGTTTCCTGTACACTCTGAACAAGTAGGCCACAAGCGGCATCAATTTTTTCCTTTAGCAGGAAGTCCCTTTTAGCCATATATTGTCTCGAGAAGCGAATATAGTATTTATGCATGGGTACCTTACAACCTCGGTAGCAGGTAATTATCTACATCTACCTTGGGTCATATATTTTGACCATGACGAAGTATCATTCATTTAGTGATAGTTATTATGTATGTACACAGTTATTAGATTTTTATTTAAGCAAGAGCCAGTGTATATTAAGGAAGCTCTTTTTGAACTAAAAATTCTCCTTGAGATTGTACAACATGTATGAAACCTAAGCAATTCGTAACCCATGTAAAAGTAGATATTTTGTCCACCTAAGCACACAAGTTTTGTTTTATGTATGAAATTATTGTAAGTAAGTGGGATTTATGGTGGTGGTGTGTTTTGAATAATATTGCGTGGTTATTAGACATTAATGGTTGATAATGTACGTGGCGTTGAAAAAGATAGGGCAACGGTTAATAGGGATGGTGGTGCGCAATCAGTTGCGTGGAATTCGAGATTGCTTGGGAGTCGGCAGGCCACGTTACTTTATGCCACTCACCTCACTCAACTTTTCGCTTTCCACTCCTTTCTTTTTCAGATTTCACCCTTCCTTTTTTTCGTTTACATGCTTTTCCTTCTTTACTATTTCTTCTCTTTTACGCTCTTCTTCCCTTCGCCATTATAATACCATATTTCGATCATATCTTATACACATACATTATTTTTATTTCATCCCCAAAGCATCTTTAAACAACTCAATTATACTTTCTTTCGAGGTCCATGCTCTCTATTATATGTTCAACATCATATATTTTTTTTCTCCTTTACACATTTTACAACTGTTCAAGTTTTTTTTTTTAAATAATTTGTCACCTTTACCTATTATATTGTTACTCACCAAATCTCTACTGATTTTTTTTAATCTTTACATTTTTTTATATACTACAAGAAGAATTGCAGTTAGGATCCGTTAAAGCATTAGACGCTAGTTGCATGAAATACTGATAGTCTCCTAAAGCATGAGATATTAGTAGCGTTGGCTAAATCCATGCTTTAAATGACGTATAAATTTCATATTAATTTGTTATTCGAATAAAGTGTCAGATTAATGTACTCAAAGCTATAAAATTTAACATTTTATTTTAATATAATGTTGATTAAGCCGACCTAAATGAAGAGAATAATAAATAAATTAATTTTACAGTCAAAACAAAGAGAAAAAAAATATAATATACGTACATATTTGTTTCTAATTTTAGGTCTTTTAGAGATATAAGTGGATTTTAAAATAAGATTTTATTTAGGTCCAAACGTACAATCTCATGAAGAAGGAGGTGTCACATATGGAAGGCAAAGGATAACAGTGCAACAAGCATTTTTAAAGTAATTTTTCATAGTAATTTTTTATATTGGTTAAAATTCATTTAGTATAAAAAAGTAGTAGAGTTTCTAAGATTTTTTATACCGATTCTAGATTTAACATAAAAAATCACGTGATTGTAAAACTGTAATAAATTATAAAAGTGTTCTATATTGGTTGGACCTAGATTAACATCGAAAATGTTACGGTGACAAAACTGTAATAAATTACAAAGTTTTCTATATTGGTTGTACCTATAATTGATATAGAAAGTGACATGGTGACAAAATTGTAATAAATTACAAAGTCTTTTTATTCTTGTTAGACGTAGATTTGATATAGAAAGTGACTTTTATACCAATTTGTCAATTTAATCGGTATAAAATGTTTAATTCTTTTTCACAACTTTTGCACCTCACCTCATTAGGTTATGTATTCATCATCACTTTGAGCCCCTTTTCCCTTCTCTAGTGAGTCGCCTTCTCATTTTGGCTCATTCACTATCCTCGTTCTCGCATTGCTAAATTCCTTCTCGTTCTCGTCGTGTTTGGGCGTTCACAATTCATTGTTGGTGTTGTGGTGTGGTGTTATGGTGTCGTTGTTGCGTGGTTCGGTGTCGTCGCCATTACATTAAATCTAAAATGTATGTCTGTGTGTTGGTTATCTGAAATTTTGTCAAATATTTTGGTGTGGCAACATTGTGTTGTGGTTAGTACCACTATCATCGTTGTTCGAGTTGAGCCTTATACTTTCAACAAGCCGTTGAGCTTGTAGCTATTTTCCCCCTATGCTTACAATGAGAAACTGAAAGCACTGAAGTAAATAATTAGTTTGGTAACTTGTTAATACAACTTAGGTGATGTGCAATTTATAAGATCAATTTCATATCTCACATGTATTATGTGAATGATTTGTTATGGTATACTTATTAGGAACCCTTATGGAGGAGTTGGTGTTTAAGGCATGCATGATACCTTTACTTTTGTGTGGAGGATTTAAAACATACAATTGGTTTGAGATATTGGGGTTGAGACAGTAGGGTGATGGTTGTAGATGTTTGAGATGCTATTGCTCGAGTTTTGTGTCCACTCAAGAGGTTGAGGTAGTGTGGTAGACCCTTGGAAAGTTTATCCTTTGACCACTTATTGTTGTATACTAATCTTATCTAAGTTTTTATATATGTATACCAGGTTGGAGCACAAGGGGAGGAAGATTTAAATGAATCAGTGCCACAACTGTCATAGTTGTCATAATTGCTACAATAGACAATTCTAGAACAACTTGGTGTATTGGCAACAAAAACCTCCCTGACACCTACAAAGTTACAAATGCCTCTTAGAGTCATAAACAGGACAACTTGTTTCTCCTTTTTTATATGTCAGAAGGATGTTTTTGAAGTTCTTTATGGCACTGATATGTTATGTATATTAGTATTACAACTTTGGTTTCTGTAAGAAAATTTTTACTTTCATGAAGTTTGAATATATTCAATTTGTTATTAGAACATTTTTCACTTTCAATGTTTAAGGTATTTACATCGTATCATCATTGAGAGGAATAATGATCACATATATGGATTTATTGACCTTATTGTTATTCCAGGAGTTGGGAATAAAGGTGAAAAAGTGCAAATGTTACCTATTAGATGCCTTTGAAAAAGGAAAAAAAAACAAGTCTACTTAGCATCTTATTTGTAAGAGTAAGTATGTTTTTTGTAAATAAAATTCTATTTATGTAAATATTATTTGACACTATTATTGTTTGAATCTCCATGGGTCACTAGACTTTGATAGTATTCTTCCTCAAGAATCTCTTATGGTTTGTACCCACTTATATATTATAAAATGGTCTTTTCTCTAGCTGATGTGGGATATCCCCTACCCACAAAAAAAAATTAATTTGTATTTTATTAATTTTAATGTAATTAAAATTAAAATTAATTTATATTTTATAAAGTTAAATTTAATGTATATTATATTTTATATATTATTGTAATTTTATTTTAATAATTTATAAAAATATATTTTTTAAATATTTGTGGGTATTTGTAAGTATTCACGGGTTTTAAAATACCCGCGAATATTTTTTTAAACAAGTATCCATGTGGATAGCGGATGAATTTTTTTTTAGGTTGGATTACGGGTAAACATTATCCGTGCGATTGTCATCCTACATGTAACTTTTAGATTTGGTTCAAATGTAATTAGCAATGAATTTGTTTACTAATTTCAAAGTATTTGTAAACGGTTAATTGATTGATATTAAAAGAAATTTTTTAAATAATAACTAAAAATATATTTAGAAACTAATTTAAAGACATTTTTTTAATTAGAGTTAATTCAAAGATCAATTATTTGCTTGTCAAAATTTTAATAACTAAAATTAGTGATCAATTTATAAACTAATTTATTATCGAAACTATTCTTACTATAAATTTAGATACCAATTATATTTTTTTAAAATTATTTTAATTACCAATAATTTTAATTTATAAAATATATTTAAATTTGTTAATGTAATATCTTATTATTTTTTAGGCTTAATAGCTTACTTCATTCTCATCACCGTTTAACGGCGTTAAAATTGAAAACGTTGACCTGAGTGTGGATGTGAGGTGTGCAAGAAATGTGGTCGTGGCAATGAGTTGGAGTACGTTAGTTGACGTGGCAGGCAAAAGAAAAAATTACGTGTTATGAAATTGGGGAAATTAAATAATAGGGTTTCTTAATCTTCGAATTAAAAAATTACACAAGTTAGGTAATATATTGGGGATTTTTGACGTTTTGGAAGGATTGACGTTGTGCAAGGATTGACGGTGTCGAAGGAGATTGTTGACCAAAAAGGGTTAGTGAAGGAGATTCTTGAGCGAAAAGGATTGACGTTGCGACGATAGTTGTTTGAAGCGAAAAGGTGCAAGGTAAGTTTTTTATCAGTTTTTGATGTAGTTGCTTTCCCCCATGGAAGTATCTTGCCTTCTTGTCCCCTTACTATGTTCTGTTGTGGTCTCCCTAATAACGTTGGATTTGTAGTGGTCCCGTTCTTGAGTGGTTTTGGTCCCCAATTAGTGCGTAGTACTATTTTGGATATGGTTTTGTTGAATGTGTGGTTGTTGTTTAACTTGTGGTTGATGCATATTGATTTAAGGTTTAAGCCAAAATGGAATGTTGTAGGTGATACAATGAATGCGTGTGATTACTTCTGTATGCCTACAAGTGTGATAGTTGTTAGTAACGTGGCATCTTTACAATGTACATGCATGTGGAGGTCATTAAATACTGATAGTAGATGCATGTGAAGGTCATTAACCAACTGCATGTAGTCTGACACTTTATTTTATATAGACATATAATAGTTGGTCAAATAAAGAAAATGTCTGACTCTGATATTGAGGTAGTGTTTCACCATGGGGGTAAGTTTCTAAATGATGGGTCATTTAGATACCATGGAGGTGAAACCAGTACCTTGGTCGTTGACACAGACACATGAAGTTATTTTGAAATCTTGGCCATACTGAAGGAGATGGGATATAGAAATGTTAAGGAGTTGTGGTATTCCCTGAGTGGTCGTGTATTAGAAGATAGGTTGGAATTGTTAAGTGATGACACAGGAGCAATGCATATCGTGAGCATTGTGTTATTGAATGGTAAAGCTCATTTGTTTGTGGTTCACATGGTGTCCGAACATGATTATATTAATATGTTGCAATATGATGTTGGTGAAGAAGGTGAGGATGGTGAAGATGGTGAAGGTGAAGGTAAACTTAGTGAAGAGGTTGAAGAAGAACGTGGTGAGGATGGTGAAGGTGAAGGTAGTGAAGATGGTGAAGTTGGAGAAGATGGTGAAGGTGGTGATGATGGTGAAGTTGGTGATGTTGGACAAGATGGTGATGAGACATAAGATGGTTTATTTGGAGAAGTTGGTGAAGTTGGAGAAGATGGTCAAGGTGTTGATGATGGTGAAGTTGGAGATGTTGGTGAAGTTGGAGAAGATGG